CATCAGTTGGTTAATCCAATTAATTTGATTAAAAAAAGAGGAAATGCAAAATTACATACTATGATATATAGATTTGAAGCATGTTGAACAGTAAATTGCATTCGAAGTAAATCATGTTTTAAAAGTGCATAAATGGTCAACGTGAGCCTAAGTATTATTTTTCAAAAATCGCATCTCCATGAAGAACATATTTATCTTGCCTTTTGAGAATGAATTTAGAAGTATGTGCATGTCTTTTTCATAAGTTAAGTGTTGCATATATGAGATGCATGAGCGATATATCTATATATGTATATCTATGGTGAGGAAAACCTTGTTTTGGAGGACCCGTTTGGACTACGTCCTCTCGGAAGAAAGAAATAGACATTACGGTCCCAATATATGTAACGCGGCGTATTCCCACGTTACGAGGTTGGAATCTGCCCGCCAGGCTTGGAATCCTAGTTAGGGGGTATGCACGCTAAAAGTTCGATACCTGATTCCACAAATTTGAGTTTAGAACCAAGAGAGTGGTTCGGTGGATGAGATGAGCATAGGTCGGCTAGAGGCCGTACCGGGATAGGTTCTTTCACGCTACGGTGAAGTTCCTACCTCATCCATTAGTAAAGAAAGTGAGTCATTGCGACTCTAAGAAAGCGAGTCATTGCGACTCTAAGAAAAGAAAGCAAGCGAGTCCATGTGGCTCTAAGAGACCTCCACAGAAAAGTATTCTATTTACAAACGAGTGTATAAGTATACTTATAGTATTGCACGAGATTGCATAATGAGAATGTTGCATGAGATTGCATGATGAGAATGTTTGCATTAGATTGCATAATGAGAATGATTAACCGAGATTGTATTTTGAGCATGATTGCTTTAGTTGCATTTTGATGCCTTATATATCTAGTTTGCGTGAAGAGAATTCGAAAGCATGAGAATAATTTCGTATTGATTGATAGCATGCAATTTCTTGATAGCATGAGTTCGTTATGATGAGTTTTGATAAGAGAAAAATGTGTTGGAGTGATTTTTGTTGATGAATTATTTATTTATAAAGCATGCATGTCGATATTATAGGTTGCGAGCATATATAAAGTCTGTGATGTATCTTAAAGTTGTCTAAGTGTTAAGATTACTTGATTAGAGTTGGTGAACAAATGTTTTTCCAAAGTATATACTGTAGTCCTTTACAGGGTTGAGTGTGGTTATACTTAGCTTCGTGCTAACGGGTGTTTTCCTACTTGTCTATTTGTTGTTTTGCAAAACCCCTTTCAGGTGGGCCCAGCGTATGAGAGTTGATCGAGTTAGACTAGTTTAGTAGATCTAATAGTCTAAACTCTGATTCTTATTATGATGTTTTGATGATGGATTGTAGACTGATGCTAGTTATGTTTGATGATAGACATCGGGGTGTTTTTACCCAAGTGACTTTAAATTAAGTAATTTGAATGTTAGTTTGGTTTAATGACTTAGTTCCATCTTTAGCCTATGCAATCACCGCGGAGAGGTGGTTGTGGCGGTGATATTCCCACAAGTTTGTTATTTAAGTTGTTTATCCGCTACTTAGTTTATCTTGATTTTGGTTTTAGATCTGTAATAAAGTTTAAGAAAAGTGGGGTGTTACATTATGCAATTCTGGATGTATAGTAATGAAGTTATGGATGTGTAGTTATGCAATTCTGGATGTATAGTTATGCAATTCTGGATGTATAGTTATGAAATCATGGATTGTAGTTATGCAATTCTGAATTTTTTTTAAGGCGACGTCAAAACGACGTCGTTTTTGCATGCATCCGTGTGCACCATGCATGGTGCACACGGATGCACAACATAACGGCTCCCGGGCAGCCGTCTTCATAGCGACAATCCGCCGGCCGCCGCCGTCGCACCCAGTTGGTGGCCACTGGGCATCCTCGTTGGGAAGCAGCAACGCTGTCGTCCTCCCTCCGACGCGAAGGCCACAGTGTCCAAGTGCCACCGTTCCGGAAGATGTCTGGCGACAACCAAAAAAAAAAAAAAAACAATAGGGGAGGGATTTAGGAGAAAAAGATTTCGACAACAATAAAAAAATCCGTAAGGTATTTTTATAAAAGAAATTCCGATCAGTATTTTGAAAAAAAAAATTGTTTTGGATTTTTTTTTAAATGTATATATTTTGAAAATATGTGTATTTAAAAAATATATATATATACGAAAATTGTACTGGTATGCTGATAAAAACATATAGTATGATATACGAATAAAAAAATTCTATGTTATGTAGACAATTCAAAAAAATATGAATGTTCATAAACGTTATCAAATATATGTGCGTGTTGATAATGTGTTGTGATCCACTTTGACCCTTAAACGTTCTCCCCGATGCATTGGATTGAATATCAATAATGTAAAGAGAAAGGAGAATCAACAATAGTATAGGTAATCAGAATTTCATTAAGCCACATTCCAATACAATACATGTTCGTTATGTCTGTTACAATATCAATCATAATGTCAACATTTATTATTATTTATTTATAACAGATTAAGGTCATGTTTGGTAAATGGCGATTAGCTGTTAGCTGTTAGTTGATTGGGTTAATTAGAAGATATAACTAGTTGATAACATTAGCTGATTGTAGAAAAGTGTTCGTAAATTAGCGGTTAGCTGATAACTGTTTATTATAATTTCTTTTTTCAAAAAGCTAATTGAAAAAGTTGCTTTGAGTAGCTTTTTGAATTTTAGCATTTTAGAGTACAAAAAGCTAATTAACCAAACACTTAAATTAATTTTTAAACCAAGTCAAACAACTAATTAATAGTAGTTAAATAAGCCAAAATCGACCTATATGCCAACTATTTTACTAAACAGGGCCTAAGTATTTTCCTATTTTGGATATTTAGGTTGATTTCTTTAATTTAGATTGGAATAAGGGTCAAATAGGCCACTGAACTGCACACCAAGTTGCAATTAGGCTATCGAACTCAAAAAAAAAATACAATTGGGTCCCTGACCTACACAAATTTAAGCAATTAGGTCTAAAATGACTTGTTTACCTAATACTTTGCTGACGTGGAGGTTGTGGATTTTAAAAATAATTTTAAACAAAAAAATAATTAAAAATTAAAAAAAAAAAACCAGAACGGCCGGAGACGAAATCATCTCCGGCCGTTCTGGTTTTTTTTTTTTTAATTAATTTTTTGTTTAAAATTATTTTTGAAATTATTTTTAAAATTCGCAACCTACCTGGCAGGTAAACAGATAAGTTTTAGACCTAATTGCATAAATTTGTGTAGTTCAGGGATCTAATTGCATCTTTTTTGAGTTCGATAGCCTAAATGTAGCTTGTTCTGCAGTTCAGTGGCCTATTTGACCCTTATTCCATTTAGGTTTATACATTGGTTCACTGCTGGAAATCTCGCTGTTTGCGTCTAACATTTTCGTCCAACCGTAATTTGGTCGGTATTTTAATAAAAATTTCAACTTTCAGTCATTAAAAATGGGTGGACGGAACGTTGGTCGGAAATTTCGTCCAACGAGTGGATGTTGGACAGAATTTCCGTCCAACATCCGGCGTTGGAAGGAAATTGTATCCAACCTATAGTGTTGGTTGGTAAACTCAATTGGACTGATGGGTAGAAATTAAAAATGGTAAGTATTTTAATTTCCGTCCAACAATATTGTTGGACGGAAATTTAAATATTTTAGCCTTCCCTTCTTTTTCTCAGTCGAAGTCTTGAAGACTTTTCCTTCCGTCCAAGTCTACTGCCAAATGGATGCCATCACCTACAAGCTCGGAAGCCATGACTGATTCCGTCGTCCAAGCTCACCAGACCGCCCATGGCTCCTCAGATCGCGCGCGTGTTCAATTTCGCGGCGGATCTGCGGGCTTTGCTCAACATCGCGGAGGATTATGTCGTGCCCTTCCTCTTCTCTTCTCTTCTCTTCTCTGGAAGCCGCAGCTAAGAGGTATGTTTTACGGAGTATTTTTTATTTTTTATTTTTATTTTTCAACTCTCCTTCATTCTTTAGATCTGTACAAATGGAGCACTTTTTCGGAGAGTCCTATTTCAGATCTACGCTGGCAACTCAGATCTACGCAAAGAATGGAGGAGACGATGACAGACTGAGAATGGTCGATGCTCTGCGGGTTAAATCTGTCTTTGGTGATATTTTGATGATATTTTCCTTACGAAACTGTTCTTAGTATTGAATTTAGGTCTGCTACTGTTGATTAAACCTTTATATATGCTTACAGTAAAAACTGTCGTATATATAATTTCCCATGTGGTCTTGCTGTATCATGTTAATTAGTTTGTTAAGCACTCTGGTAAGGATATAATGATATAAACTCAAATAAAGTAAATACACCATTCTTTTTCTTTATGTCTCCAAGTTTGTTGATGGTATTTGTGTTCCCATTGTTGAAAGAATAATGTTTTTTGTACTCTAGGAATACAATGTTGAAGATTCTATTATGCCCCTTCAGCCATCATTGAACTAGTGAACTACACTGCTCCTGATTTGGTTCGAAGTAACACAAGTTCTATTGGATGCTCCTCTGATATTTTCAGTTTTGAGTGTCTTGCCTACCATTTGATTGCTCGGAAGCCTTTGCTAGACTGTCACAACAATGTCAAGATGGTACTAAATTATATTTCATTTGTGATATAATGTACCTACTATGATTTCTCTTTAGTTCTAGTACTTGAGTGATCTATTGACTTATTCCTCGATATAATTGTTTTAATTTCTGGCATTACTTGTACAAACCTTATGTTTGCCCAATTCAGTGTTAATAGATAGAAACCTCTTTACTGAAATTTGACTAAAGAAAACTCGGTAAGTTGATTGATCACTTCATCACAGGGAAAGCCATTGAAAGTACACTTGGCATATGGTTTATTGTACAGCTAATAATTGCTCCTCACTCAACACATGCAATTAAATCAGAAATCTTATTGTTTGTCCTTTGGATTTAAAATTTGGTTTCTTTGAGGTAAACTATTTTGGGAACTTCAAGTTATCAATAGTGAGTATGTCCAGTTTTTGAACATGAATAATTACATTATGTTTTTGTGTTAGTGCTGGAAGGATTTTTGTATATTTTGATTTATTCCATAAGAAGATGTGGCAAGCAGATAGATTGAAAATGCATTTTTATTTGTCTATCTTTTAATTCTCTTCCTTTCTTATTGGTTTTCACTTTTGTTTCTCGGTCATTTTTGCTAGAAATCACTTTAGAAATACATGATCAATGCCATTGAAGTAGAAGGTCGTGATGAAAACAGCGTGCAGTTGTTTGAGAAACTCAAGGGATATTGGTAAGACATGAAAAAGGAAGATGAGGGAAATGTCTGTTTAATTACTGATAATAGTAAAGAATATGCAAAGAAACTAAGCTACTGGAAAGGAAACTAAATCACTATATACAAGGAATATACAGTAAAGAAATCTGCAAGAATTGATCTTCATTATTTGCCTTCCTCATTCATCATTCTGCATTATTTGCTTCCTTATTCATCATGCCCCCCTCAAGTTGGAGCGTGAAGGTTCGCAACGCCCAACTTGCCCAGAAGAAAATGGAACCTATCCTTTCCTAGTGCTTTGGTGAACAAATCAGCCAGCTGGACCTTTGTATGTACTTTATGTGGAACAATCTCATTAGATCGTACTCTCTCACGAACAAAATAACAATCCATCTCTACATGCTTAGTTCTTTAGTGATACACCGGGTTGGCTGCAATATGCAATGCAGCTTGGTTGTCACAGTACAAAGGTGTTGCATGCATCTGACAAGCCCCAAGTTCAGATAGTAACCAACGCAACCATAGTAGTTCACTCACAGTGACAGCCATTGCCATGTACTCTGCTTCTGTAGATGACCGAGAAACCACAGATTGTTTCTTCGTTCGCCAAGAAACTGGGGAACCACCTAAAGCCCATGTTGATGCAGATGTGAATCCCTTACGAAGCCTTACACAAGCCCAATTGGCAAAACTTGTTCAGCTCCTGAATACAGACGAAGACAAATTCAAGCATGATGGGGTATCAACAAACCCAACTGTTAACATGGCTGGTAAGATTAATAAACGAAACTCGTGGGTGATAGATTCTGGAGCAACAGATCACATAGTGTGTGACAGTGAGCTATTGAATAGAGTGGAGATTGGAAATGGTGATTTTCCTGTCATCATACCCAACAGAGATCAAATTGCACTTAAAATTCGGGATGTTCAAGACACGGTTTATTTGCAACCCATTAGGAAGCTTACTACTTCCTATGCTTTTAACTGCCACTCGATCTCCATTCGGTATGATGACAGGAAAATCACCATTTTCAATCTCCAATCTATTCAATAGCTCACTGTCACACACTATGTGATCTGTTGCTCCAGAATCTATCACCCACGAGTTTCGTTTATTAATCTTACCAGCCATGTTAACAGTTGGGTTTGTTGATGCCCCATCATGCTTGAATTTGTCTTCGTCTGTATTCAGGAACTGAACAAGTTTTGCCAATTGGGTTTGTGTAAGGCTTCGTAAGGGATTCACATCTGCATCAACATGGGCTACTTTTGGCGTTGCTTTCTGGTCTGTGTATTGCCCTCCTCTCTTATCACGAGGACCTTTCCGCCAATGTGTGGGATAACCAATTATTTCATAGCATTGATCTTCAGTTTGTCCAATCTTCTGGCAGTGTCCACAAATGGGTTTATCCCTTCTTCTTCCTCTGCCATCCTTTTCATTGGAAAATCTCTGTAGATTCAACCACTGGTTTATGATTCAACCACTGGTTTATGAGTGGCTGAGACTTGTCTTTGCTGCTCGTCTTCAGAAACCATATGATACGCTCGACCAAGGCTTGGCGTTGGTTTTGAACTGAGAATCTGTGACTTCACTGCATTAAATTCTTCATCCAATCCCATCAAAAAATCATATAACTGCTCCTTCTCCTTCATATCGGCGAACTGCTTTGATATATTGCATGTGCATCCACTGCAAACACATCTTGGTAGTGGAGAGATTGCCATCGTCTCATCCTAGAGGCTTTTCAAGTTTGTGTAGTAAGACGAAACAGAAGCCTTTTCTTGTCGTAGGAGTACCACTGCTCGCCTAATCTCAAAGGCTCTTGGTGCACTTCCCTTCCCAAACCTTTCTTCCAGGTCCTCCCAAATATCTTTGTCTGTATTGGCATATCTTACACTGTTTCTCATGTCCTTGTCCATTGCACTCTTTAGCCAACCTTTCACCATAGCATTACAACGCATCCACTGTTGTAAATATGGTGAGTCGGGTGTCGGTGTGGACAGAGATCCATCTACAAAACCCATCTTGTTTTTGGCAAACAATGCATCTCGCATATCATTTACCCACTCTCCGTAGTTGCCATCACGGAGGACTTCAGTAACATAAACATGCCCTGGAGCATCAGAAGCATGTAAGAAATATGGCGACATGACATCTATGCAACCAGGCAAAACTTCTGTTGCTTTCGATGCCATCTTACCACCCTGGGTCTTTTCTGTTTCTTCACCGCTTTCATCCGATGTCTTCGGCGTAACATCTTTCGCCTTGTCGTAACCTGACTCTGATGCCATGATGAAAACGGCGTGCAGTTGTTTGAGAAACTCAAGGGATATTGGTAAGACGTGAAAAAGGAAGATGAGGGAAAGGTCTGTTTAATTACTGATAATAGCAAAGAATAAATACATGCAAAGAAACTAAGGTAAGCTACTGGAAAGGAAACTAAATCACTATATACAAGGAATATACAGTAAAGAAATCTGCAAGAATTGATCTTCATTATTTGCCTTCCTCATTTATTATTCTACATTATTTGCTTCCTTATTCATCAGGTCGTGGATGCTGCATTGATCAAATCCATTGAAGCAGTACCGGAGTTGAAGGATTATTTGGGTGCAGCGAGCATACTTAAGTAGTATCGATTAAGTAGTATATATTTTCATGACTTTTTTTTTTTTTTGTGTGTGGTAATATCCGTTGTTGTATGTACTATGGATATGACCATAATTTTTGTTATAAATAAGTTTGATGTTTAAATATATTTTCAATTTAGTGTGTCCATTACTTTGTTGATGACATATAATTTATTAACAACCTGTATGAATAAAATTATGGTAATATAAAAAGAATAAAAACATTCAATATGATTTAAGATTTTCCTACCAACAGTTCGAAGGAAAATTACAAAATATAATATGTGAGTTTTCTGACCAACATATAAAGTTGGACGGAATTTCCGACCAATGCACGTAGTTAGACGGAAGTTCCCACGTTATAAAAATGGTGGGTTACTTTCCGGAATTTCCGTCCATTTTTTGTTTGTTGGACATTATTTCTGACCAAAAATTGTTGTTGGATGGAATTTCCCAAGGAGGTTTTTCCGAACGTTCATTTTGGTCGGTATGTTGGACGAAAAGGTCGTTTCCGACCAATATATCGCGTTTTCCGTCCAACATATACGCAAGATTTCCAGTAGTGGTTACAATATCTTTTAAAAAATAACCATAAATTATTTTCCTTTGTGTAGTAAAACAATAAATATGATGGTTAATTATTTTCCAATTTTGGATATTCAGATTGATTTACACCGACTTTCAAAAAAAAAAAAGATTGATTTACACCGCGGTTACAATATCTTTAATAAAATAACCATAAAAAACCTCAACAGAATTCATATATATACAAAGAATCAGACTTCAAATGCAACGTAACAACTCAAAACTCATATTGAAACACAAAGTGAAAGATGGCTTCGAGCAAAATGGTTTTCATGCTTGTCTTCTTGATGGTCATTCTATTAGGTATGATTTTATCTCGTCCTCCCTGTAACAATAAGAATTTATTAACACCATAATTCTAATTAAAAAGTACAAATAAAAAATAATGTGATTCTAGTTTACTAATTCAATATATGTGAAATTACATTGCAGGTTCACTGGTGGTGAATGTTATGGGAAAGTCTATTTCGAATGGTGGGGGTGATTTTGTCAACTCTACTGGAAATTGCGACACGGATGCGGATTGTGACAAAACTTGTAAATGCTCACCGGGCACAAATGAGTGCAGTGATGGGATATGTATTTGTGGTTGTAAGTAGTGATTGTAACAGTGGCCATTAAATGAGATTATTTCTTGATGACTAATATGCTTTTTCAAATCTACTTCCAATAATTCTGATTTGAATAAATTTTTTGTTGTAAATAAATAATGTGAACAATATATTACTATATTGGATTAAATATGATAACTATACACCCGCATAGATAACTCAGTTGGTCACACGAGTGAAATTTAGAAACAATGATGTTGGAAAAATTAGCTTAAAATGGCATAAAATGGCATATTAAGTGGCTATTTTGTGGTACAATTATCAGTGGGGTCCACTACCGATTTGGGTCGGGTCAAAGTGGATTCGGATTCTTCGTAGTAAGACGAAGAGATTGATATATTGTACGCTCAAAACGGATAATGGGTGAATGAGATATTGATTCTCAAAGTAGACCCATTTGAATTGGGAAATGAAGGGAAAATGTAGGACTTTGTCCCACATTGGTTTGGAAACAAGATTTGCCCCCCTTATATACATGAGCTCTTTTCAAGCTTGTAGAATTGTATAGCATAGAGGCTCTCTCGCGCGGGGTGGGGGGGCGGTGCAAATCAAAATCCAACTAGAGGACATCAAAAAGGCTTGAAATCAAGCCCGAGCTCGCGTGCGCCGGCACCTGCGGGCACGAATGTCGTCTGGAAATGGGCTGGCCTTGCGGGCTAAGTTATGCCTAACTTCGGTATCATTTTCCATCTGTTATAGTCACTTGGCTCGGCCAACACCGAGAACACCACTCTCGTGCTACAAAGAGCACGAGAGGTGTTGTGGTGCATGGCTCGGCCAAAACCGAAAACACCACTCTCGTGCTACAGAGAGCACGAGAGGTTGTGGTGCACCGAGAGCAAAACTCTCGTGCAACGGTGAACACGAGAGGTGTACTCTCGTATTGCACCATAGCACGAGAGGTGTACTCTCGTGGTGTACCACAGCACGAGAGTGTGAACTCTCGTGCACCCCAACGGTCTGAAACCCGAAAGTGCAGAAGATTAAACTCATCTGTTACGAAATTAATACTGTTTTAATTCCAATTTTTAAATTCTGAGTTTAATCCTACTTAGTGGTGACCGTTACAGGTGTTACACAATTGGTTTTAATCCCAATTTACTGCCATGTTGAATGCTATCTCTTCCAACGAGCCCTATATAAAGAAGAGGTTGGGCAGAAGCATTTTACACACACAGTGAGAAAAACGAAGGAATTCCAGTATAGTTTTCAGCTTCAAAACTTCTGCTTCTACTCTCTTCTTTCCCCAGCTGTGTTCCAGCTTTGTTTTGTTCGCCGGGCTCTTTGTTTAGGTGCTTAAACAAAGAGTCGTAGCACGTTTTATCCTGGGAAACCTACGCTACAACGCTCCTAGCACTTGTGGGAGGTAGCAAATAAGGTTTTAAGGAAAAGAACCTTATGTTCGAACTCGTGCTAAAGCCTTCACCCAAACACTCAACTCTTTTCCTTCCCGATTTTCTGTTTTCCCTAAGTTATAATAATTTTCTGTAGAATTATTATATTTGGGGATTTTTCACCTTTTTTACCCAACAATCTTAAAACCTTATATCCGTTTCCCGTTGGTTGTTTATCTCTAATTTCCTAGAAGAAATGGAGAATCCAGTTTTGCCAGCTCTCGGGGAGGAGAATGTTGTTGAGAACAACAATGGTGGGAATGGCAATAATGTTGCTAATTCCCAAGCTACACCAGTGAACATTTGTTCACAAGATGGTGGGAGCACTGAGGGATATATTCCCATGACTCGGGTACCTACGGTACCGAGTGGTTCGGCCGAAAGACCGGAGAAGTTCACCGGTATTGGATCGAACTTCAAGAGGTGGCAGCAAAAGATGCTGTTCTACCTGGCAACTCTCGGGTTGGCGAGATTCTTAACCGAGAAGGTTCCCGAATTAAGGGAACAAGATGCCCAATCCGTGATGGCAGTGGGCTATTGGAAGGATTCGGATTTCCTATGCCGAAACTACATCCTAAACGGATTATGTGATGCTTTATACGATGTATATCGCAAGATAGGCACAGCAAAAGCGTTGTGGGAAGCCTTGGATCATAAATACCGAAGTGAGGATGCCGGCGCAAAGAAATTTGTGGTTGGCCGATTCCTTGACTTCAAAATGGTTGATTCCAAGACCGTGCTAAGTCAGGTTGAGGATTTACAACTAATCTTTGATGAAATCCGTGACGAAGGTATGACGTTGAGTGAAGCCTTCCTAGTGGGATCCGTTATCCACTTGCTGCCTCCAGGGTGGAAGGACTTCAAGAATTACCTTAAGCACAAGCGAAAGGAAATGAACCTGAAGGACCTGATCCAGCGACTCCGAATTGAGGAGGGGAACAGGACGAATGATGGCAGAAATACTGTCACTGTTGGCGCTAAGGCCAATGTTGTGGAGCATACCAAAGGCTCCAAGAAGAACAAGAAGGACAAGCAGAAGCTAGGTCCGAAAGGAGGCATTACCAAGAAGAAATTTCATGGAAAATGCTTCAATTGTGGCAAGACTGGCCCCAAGTCCTCTGAATGCAAAGTTCCTAAGAAGAAGAACAAGAGTTCTGAAGCCAACATGGTTGAGGAAAGCAATCAGAAGAAGGTCGAGATTAGCCTTTCGGCTATGGTGACCGAGGTGAACCTCGTGGACTCTAACCCACGAGAGTGGTTCATCGACACTGGTGCAACAAGGCATTTGTGTTGCAACCGAGAGATGTTCAACACCTTTGAGACCGTTGAGGGCGAGAAGGTTTGGATGGGAAACTCTGCTCAGTCTGTTGTGGAAGGCATGGGCAAGGTGGTTCTGAAGATGACTTCCGGGAAGGAACTGACGTTGAACAACGTGCTGTATGTTCCAGAGCTGAGGAAGAATCTGGTGTCTGGCTCACTGTTGAACAAGCATGGCTTTCGCATGGTGTTCGAGTCAGACAAGGTTGTTTTGTCTAAGTTAGGAATGTTTGTAGGCAAAGGTTATGTAACCGATGGGCTCTTTAAGCTCAATGTAATGCCTATTACGAATAAAAGCAAAGTTACTTCCGTTTACTTGCTTGAGTCTTCCAATTTGTGGCATGGTAGACTAGGTCACGTTAATTATAATTCTATGCGTAGATTAATTAACATGAACCTAATTCCTAACTTTCATATTAACACAAACAACAAGTGTGAAATTTGTGTTGAGGCAAAATTAACGAAAGTACCTTTCAAATCGGTTGAAAGGGAAACTGAACCACTAGAATTAATCCATAGTGATTTGTGCGATTTTAGATCGATACAAACGAGAGGTGGTAATAAATATTTTATCACCTTTATCGACGATAACACACGTTATTGCTATGTGTATTTGCTTAAAAGCAAAGACGAAGCCTTGGAAAAATTCATTCTTTATAAGAATGAAGTTGAAAACCAACTTAATCAAAAGATTAAGAAAGTTAGAAGCGATAGAGGTGGTGAGTACGAAGCACCTATTGGTGACTTCTGTGCGAGTGTAGGTATAATACACGAGCGTACTGCACCTTACTCACCTCAATCGAACGGTGTTGCCGAACGAAAGAATCGTACATTGAAAGATATGATGAATGCGATGCTTATAAGTTCGGGCCTACCTCAAGATGCGTGGGGTGAGGCTATTTTGACAAGTAATTACATTTTAAATAAGGTACCCCACAAGAAGCTTGATAGGACTCCTTATGAGCTGTGGAACGGTAGGAAACCTTCCTACCAGTACCTGAAAGTGTGGGGGTGTCTTGCCAAAGTTTTGGTGCCAACACCCAAGAAAGTAAAGATAGGTCCTAAGACCGTGGACTGTATCTTTATTGGCTATGCACATAACAGTAATGCTTATCGGTTCCTAGTACACGAGTCCCATAATCCGGACGTACACGAGAACACGATAATAGAATCAAGGAATGCATCTTTCTTTGAAAATGTATTTCCCTGTAGGTCCAACGAGGGACCAAGT